GGGACATGTTCTGAGAAATGCATTATTAGGTGGTTTTGTCATGTGAACATCATATAGTTAAACAAACCTGGTTGGTGTATGTCAATCACTGGCCATGGTCTCTTTAGGCAATCAAGAGATGTGGTAAACATATAGACACATGAGGCTGCTGTGGGTGTCACATGGCATATTGTTTTACAGTAAACTCCTTTTTATACGTAGAAGGAGTACACTCTAAAATAGTGAAAAAAGCATGGCAAATACATAAACACTAGCATAGTTGTTTATTATCAATATCATGTTTTAGGTACTGTACATAGTCATGTGTGTTCTACTGTTACACGCCCGGCAGTGCAGTGGGTTTGTTTACACCATTGTCACCACAAACATGCGACTACTCTGTTGCACTTGGCCTTGATGAAGGCTCAGACATCAGCAGACGAGAGGAACTTTTCAGCTCCATTCTTTTCTTAAGGGACCACCATCATACATGTGGTCTGTCAGTGACTTAAACATCATTATCTGGCACATGACTGCACTTGATCACTTCCTTTTTCTTGCTAGACTTTCTTCACGTGGCCTCTTGGAACCACTGCCCCTTGACTTGTCACCTACTTCTAGACCAGCTCTACTCAGGGGCCTTTGCTGGATCCTCGTCCTCTTTCAACCTTTAAGCCTTAGAGAACCCCAGAGCCTAATCCTGGGACCTTTCTCCTCCTGTATCTATACTCAACCCCTGATACCATCTAATCTCATGATCTTAAAACCCATTAGGTTGATATCTGAATTCTGAGCTTTCCCATGAACTTCAGATTCATATCCGTTTGCCTACTGAGGTGGAACATGTATATGCGTGTATACACAGTTGTTTTACTGTGTCCACAACTGCATTATGGATTCTCTTATAATACAGACAGCTAATAACCAAAGTCCTGATCTGAATCCAGTCTCTTCTCCATTTCAGTAAATGATAATGCCATCAGATACTCAAGATTAGTCCAGAGATCCTGTCAGCCCCTCTTTTGAACTATATCTTTTTTTTTAAAGGATTTATTTATGTATTTGAAAAGCAGAGTTACAGAAGAGGGTGACACACACACACACACACACACACACACAGAGAGAGAGAGATCTTCCCATTTACTGGTTCACTCCCCAAATGGCTGTAACAGTTGAGGCAGGGCCAAGCTAAAACCAAGAGCCTGGAACTTCATCCAGGTCTCTCACATGGGTAGCAGGGTTGCAAGCACTTGGACTATCTTCCGCTGCTTTCTCAGGCACATTATCACAGAGCTGTAGTGGAGCAGCTGGGACTTGAACTGGTGCTCATGGGATGCTGGCATCACAGATAGTGGTGTAAGCTGCTGAGTCACAGCACCAGCCCCTTTCAAATAGAAAGAAATCTATCCACCCACGTGGAAGACTCAAATGAATGGATGGAAGATCTCTCTGTCTCTCCCTCTCTCCATCACTCTGCCTTTCAAATAAATAGATAAATCTTTTTTTAAAAAATTGTTAACTAACTGGGGCCAGCACCGTGGCTCACTGGGTTAATCCTCAGCCTGCGGTGCCGGCATCCCATATGGGCACCGGGTTCTATTCCCGGTTGCTCCTCTTCCAGTCCAGCTCTCTGCTGTGGTCTGGGAAGGCAGTGGAGGATGGCTCAAGTGGGCCCTGCACCCGCATGGGAGACCAGGAGGAAGCACCTGGCTCCTAGCTTCGGATCTGTGCAGTGCGCCAGCCATAGCGGCCATCTGGGGAGTGAACCAACGGAAGGAAGACCTTTCTCTCTGTCTCTCTCTGTCTGTAATTCTGTCAAATAAATAAATAAACTTAAAAAAAAAAAAAAAAAAAGCTTGGCTGGCGCTGTGGCTCACTAGGCTAATCCTCCGCCTTGCTTCACCAGCACACCAGGTTCCAGTCCCGGTTGGGGCGCCGGATTCTTTCCCGGTTGCCCCTCTTCCAGGCCAGCTCTCTGCTGTGGCCAGGGAGTGCAGTGGAGGATGGAGGATGGCCCAAATCGTTGGGCCCTGCACCCCATGGGAGACCAGGATAAGCACCTGGCTCCTGACTTCAGATCAGCGCGGTGCTCTGGCCGCGGCGGCCATTGGAGGGTGAACCAATGGCAAAGGAAGACCTTTCTCTCTGTCTCTCTCTCTCTCACTGTCCACTTTGCCTGTAAAAAAAAAAAATAACTAAATAAAAGAAATCTTAAAAAAAAATTGTTAACTGAATGAATCTTAAGTGCATCCTCTACAAGGAATACCTTTTATAAAGATGTCCACTAGATGGCAATGTTTTCAAACTTTAGTTATTGTGTGCGGGCAAAAGGCCCTTCTCTGTTGCTTTCTCTAAACAAACAAACGAAAAAAGGTATTAGGTGTTAAAGATTGTCCTAGAAATTACTATGATTAATGCAAAGCATACAGAATACTATATTTTACTTTGTTTTGATTTATATTTTTTCAGATTAAAAAAAATAAAAAACATTTGGAGAAACTCAGAGAATTGCAGCATGTTGGTATAAATTACCATCAGTAGTTACTGAGCGTGGTAACTGAATGAAGGTGGCCCATGCTCTGATGTTGCCCACTGTTCTTCTGAGAGGCCCTGATGGAAGAGACCGTAGCAATAGTTCAGAGCCATTCACCACTGAGGTTACTTGTTGATACTAGCACTTGAGTACATTTGTCAACCATTTTGCTGTTGCCAGTGACTTCTACCTTTTTTTTTTTTTAGATTTATTTTATTTATTTGAAAGAGTTACAGAGAGAGGTAGAAACAGAGAGAGAGGTCTTCCATCCACTGGTTCACTCCCCAGATGGCCACAATGGCCGGAGCTGTGCCAATCCTAAGCCAGGAGCCAGGAGCTTCTTCTGGATCTCCCACGTGGGTGCAGGGGCCCAAGCACTTGGGCCATCTTCTACTGCTTTCCCAGGCCACAGCAGAGAGCTGGATCGGAAGAGGAGCAGCGGGACTAGAACTGGCCCCCGATATGGGATGCTGGTGCTTCTGGCCAGGGCTTTAACCCTTTGCGCCACAGCGCTGGCCCTCGACTTAGCTACCATTTGTCTTGTTGCTGATCCATTGGACATGCAAATGTTGAACAACTTCCATGGTGGTTTCTGGTTGGTGTTGGCATATCTGTCCTGTTAAAAATTTGTGGGTTCCAGGTGCCAGAGCTATCTTTAGCTCACTTCTCTGACTAGCACTAAGCTGAACAAATAGTTGCTCTAATCAGAAAATTTATATACTTCCGTCAGATTTTCAGAATTTGCCTGTTTTGCCTCTGTCAATGACAACATATTTCATCTTGCTTTTCTCGCTCCCCTCATGGCCGTCTGTTTCAGTCTCTGTGCCTCTTGCAAATACTTCTGACTGGTGTTAGATCCATTTTGGTTTTTTTTTTTTTTTTTGTTACACATGTTTTGATATTGTTTCTTGCTCCTTTTCTTGTTCACTATACTGACTTTTTTTCCTTTTCATATTAGTCAAAATATACTTTCAAAAAGTTGTTGATTGGTTCTCTTTCTCTTCTCTTTTTCTGTTTTAGAGCTTTCCCTTTAATTCCTGATGATAGCATTTGTAAGGAACTTATTTTGTTTATCTTTTTAAAGTTCTCAGCCTCTTCTTGGAGCTCTATTTATGCATTGAAAAAACACTGTTCTTTTGTACTGCTGTGTCTGAATGGAACATAAAATATAGGATGTTTTTAGTGTTTACAGTCTCTCCTCCCAGTCTCCCTGCGATGGTTAAGTACTAGGGCTGATAAAATTTCATTTTAAATGGGAAACAGTTACAATCAAAAAAATTTTTTTAACCGGAAATGATTGAAATTTCTAATAAGGCTCTTTGTGCCTTAGACTATGGGTGGCAATCCTTACTTTGTTTCAGCCCATTGCTCCCCTGCACCTGTTCAAGGGTACTTCAGAAAGCTTGGGGAAAATAGAATTAAAATTGTGAAATCCATGGCGGGGGGGAGTCTTCAAAAATGTGTATTATGAAGAAACAATGCATGGATCACAACATTTTTTGTACCAAAATAAACTTATCTTATTCCATTTTCCATGAATCTTTTGAAGTACACTTAGATTAGTTTTAGGTTTGAGGGAGCAGGTGTTTGGCCTAATGGGTAAGATGCATACATCCCACAACCGCATTAATTCTCTGCTTCAGCTTCATGCCAGTACACTCCCTGGGAGGCAGTGGTAATGGCTCAAGTAATTGGATTCCTGCTTCTTATGTGCGAGTCCTGGATTGAGTTCCTGCTTTCTGGCTCTGGTTCTAGAAGTTGTGGGCATTTGGGGAGTGAACCAACAGATAGGAGCTGTGCATGCATGTGTGTGTGTGTTTGTGTGTGTGTGCACGTGCGCGCGCGTGTGTCTGTCTGTCTCTGTCTTTCAAATAACAACAAAAGATTTAGGTCTAGCCTTGAGGCCAGAATTCACCATTTAGAAAATGCTTTTTTTGTTTATAAGAAATAATTGGATAGCATTCATTTGCTTAGATAATTTTCTGTTTACTAAGAAACTACTGAGTAGCATTTATTTGTCTGAATTAAGTTTTAATTGAGAAAGCATATTTTTCTGGAATGAGTCATGGAGACTTATATGATTATATAATTATATGTGATTATTAGATATATGATTACTAGAAAGATAATAGACCGTTTTTGTTTAAATATGCTTTTTGTTGAAGGAAATAGAAGTGATTTTCTTATTTACTAAATACATGTTGTGGCTGCTAGTCAAAATATAATTTATGAAAGCCATACTTATTCTCAGAGCTAAGTCTTGGAGACACTGTTGCTTGCTCTTAGGTGAGAGGCCCCAAGCCCTTGCTGGACTCATGCTCCAAAGGCAACCCTCTGTTAGTGCTCGGGAAGGAGGGCCCGTGTGCGAATCGGGCAGACTAAGCTCTTGTCCTGAAACCTGCTCCGTGCTCAAATTCATTAGAGCTTTGGCAGTGTGGCCCTAAATATCATTGATTGTTTCCATTTGTGCTCTCTCTCCCTCCCCCAGACTGATTGAGATAGCAGAATCCCGTTTTCCCAGATATTTTAACACCGAAGAAAAATTACTTTTGACAAGCAGTAAAGTTCATCTTTATCGGGAACTCAGCTGTGATGAAGTTATGCAAAGGTATGCTGTTTCAGATTTTGATGTTTCAGGAAAAATACTTTGAAGATAGCTTTCAGCTTTTGAGTAAAAAAAGTATCCTGACATATTACATGTACAGGAAATAATTATTTCCATATTCTTGATTTGCTGTAGCCTTTTGATTGAAGTGTTTCTTTAAAAATGAAAAAAAGATGAAATGAAAAAATGTTTTCAATTAAATATTACAGTGGTATATTTATTATATGTTGATCTATTAACAAAGTACCTCAATGTTTACCAGCTTAAAGTGACACACATCTATTATCTTGCACAGTTTCTGAGGGTTAGGTACAGGGAGTGGCTTACCTGGGTTTTTCTAGTACAAACTCACTCAAGAGGTTACCCTCAAGCTATTTGTCAGGGATGTGGTCATCCCAAGACTTGATAGGGGCTGGGGTATTTATTTTCTTCTCTTTCTAAAATTTATTTGAAAGGCAGCATTACAGAGACAGAAGGAGACAGAGGGAGAGAGAGAGAGGGCGAGCTCTTCCAACCGCTAGTTCACTGGTGGCTGAGTCTGGGTCGGGCTGAAGCCAGCAGCCTGGAACTCCATCTGGGCCTTCCACATGGGTGCCAGGGGTCCAGGCACTCAGACCACCTTCTGCTGATTTCCCAGCACATTAGCAGGGAGCTGGATCAGAAGTGGAGCATCCAGGACATGAAGTTGTGTTGGCATGAGGTGCCTGTGGTGACTTAACCCGTCGCACCACAATGCTGGCCCTGGCGCCAGAGCTTTTCTTTCCAAACTCACTCATGTAGTTGTTGCAAGGCCTGTATTCCTTGCTGGCTGTTGGCCAGAGGTCTCTTCTTCACCATTCCACTGAATGACAGCATAGCAACTTGGTTCCCTGAGAGAGTGGGCAAGGAAGGAGTGCCCAGGATGGAAGCTGGAGTCTTCTATGGCCTACTCTCAGAAATGGTGTCACGTGTTAGTGGGCACTCGGACCAACTCTGTCTGGCCCAATGTGGTAAGAGACTGTTCGAGGATGTGAACTGACAGGAGGTTGGAGGAAATGGGGGCCATTTTGGAGACTGGCTCCCACAAGCAGTTTAACTCTACAGTTGGAGCTTGAGAAGTACAGAGGAATCATGGAATTCTGAAACTACATGAAAACACTTTGCTCTATTTCTGCAAGAGTACACTTGTGTACAGGAGCTGCAAATAAGTTGTGTTTACTGAATTCTTGCAATCATTCCTGTAACTTAGGGAAGAACATTTTGTTGTTTAAACCTGTGCAATACCCTATTTTTCTACTGTAGCTGAGATTTATCTATCATTTTACACATTCTGCTTTTATAGGATCGAATCTCTGGAGGAAGACATTATTTCGAAAGGAGTTAAGCTTGTGATTATTGACTCTGTTGCTTCTGTGGTCAGAAAGGAGTTTGATACACAACTGCAGGGCAATATGAAAGAAAGGAACAAGTTCCTGGCCAGAGAAGCTTCCTTACTGAAGTATGTGGCTGAGGAGTTTTCCATCCCCGTAAGTTTTGCTTCTTCCCTGTTTTTTCCTTACACTTCTTTCATGTTAAATTCACTGACAAACTCTGTTAAGGGAAAACATAAAACAAGTGTTTTTTATAAGTAGTGGTTTAATTGCTATTACCCAGTATCACCATCTTCTTAAATTAGACCACCTGCTGAGATTCTTTTATCCTTTTCATAATTTGAACCTGGACAGATTTAAATGTTGTTTTCAAAAGTTCCTAAATTACTTTTTCTTCTTTCTCGTTGTTTGCTCTTTGTATATATTTTGTATCACATTGAGGTGAACATTAAATACTGAAACTCCAGCAATTGCCTCGGCCTGTTTCCAAGCAGCTTTTTGTTTACTGCAGTAGTTGTTGGTTTTCCAAGTATTCTGAGGTGGAGCGGCAGGGTAACTGTGTTCAGTGCTGTTTTGTACACAGTGGCATTTGGTTTGCTTCAGATGGCCAGAGAAGAACCATTAAGGGAGGTTTGGTATGGTCAGTAAGAAAACCTTGGAAGACTCTCTTGGCCTGGCTTTTGCTAGCAGGCATGTGGTCAGGAGGTCTGAAGAGTTGCTGGTGTGTGAGCTCCGAGACTCGAGCACTGTCGGGCTTTCAGTTGCAGCTGTGCCTCGTCTCAACAGAAGAGATAAAACGTGCTTGTGGTTTTAGAGTTTTTACACTTGATTGTGGAAAATTAAAACCTTGATCTTTGCAACATACAGAATGTGTAAAAATTGTGTAAACTATCACGCAGCCTTTGAGACTTGTAAAGCCGGGAGAGAGGTCAAGGGGAAAATGGGGCATATGAAAAGTTCTACACATCTTCATGTCTTTTTAATTCATATTTGGATTAAAGGGCAGTGTTGTAAAGTTTATCTTGGATGATGCTGATCTCAGGTGACTCCTCTTCCTGAGCAAGGAAGGCTCTCTGCCTTTTGTTGTTTTGAATAGAGCCACCTGAAAAAATAAGTACCTGGTATTCTTTTTTTTTAGTCTTTTCCTTTGCTTTTCTATTTATAAGTGCAGAATATGCTATTGCTTATATAACAACTTTGTGGAATTGATTTTTTTGTGACCAGTAAGTATTGCATTTAAAAGGCTTTTTTGAAAACTACTTCCTTTAGGAAATGTCAGAATTTTCCTAGTCTAATTGCCTCATTTAAATGAAATATCATGAACTTTCAAGTTTTGGTACTATATTTTGAATAAGTGACTTGAGATCGTGTGTTGTGTTCAGGAGTGACTGACCCGGTGCCTGCTTGCGGTTCCTCAGGCACCCCTGCCTCAAGGGGTACTTGCTGCTCCTCCTCTGGCTAGTCCTGCTCTCAGGTCTCCTTCTAGTGAGGAATTCCCGACCACAGAAGCACTGACCGTGCCGTGCCTCTCCGCTCTGCTATTGTGCTTTGTGGTTCTCCATCACAGGTTCACCCTCACGTGTCGTATTTGTGAGTTTATTGTTTGTGTCCCCCTTCCCGTCCATAGAGTGATTACTGGGACTCGGTCTACTTTCAGTGCCTAGCAGACAGCAGGCATTCACTAAATAATGCTGAATGTATGAACTGCAGACACTGCTTTTCTCTTTGATATTGGGCCAATCTTATATCTATTGGTACTAAACTTATTATTTTTTCAAAAGTCATAGTGTGTGGTTTTAAAAATTTATTTGTGTGTGAGAGAGACATTAACTGTTTGATTCACTCTTTAAGTGCACAAAATGGCAGGGCCTGGGCTGGTACTAGATCCAGGATCCTGGAATTCAGGTCAGGTCTCCCACATGGGTAGCAGGGACTGAACTACTTGAACCATCACCACTGCCTCCTAGCGGCTATATTGGCAGAAGATGGAATCTGGTTATGGTTAAAACCCAGGGAGTGTGATGGGGGATGTGGATGTCTTAACCACTAGGCTAAATGCTGGCTTCTGTGAACTCAGTTTTTAGTATTTGCGTTTCGCCCTAATTTTACCCTGTATTCCCTGAATACTATTTATCTTAATAGTAATAAAATGTAATTTTAGGTGGCAGAATGTTCTTATATGTGAACTGTACTCAGATTATACTGGCATCTTATAGGAAGAAAAAGAGGCCAGCACTGCGGCTCACTAGGCTAATCCTCCGCCTGCGGCGCCGGCACACCAGGTTCTAGTCCCGGTCGGGGCACCAGATTCTGTCCCGGTTGCTCCTCTTCCAGGCCAGCTCTCTGCTGTGGCCCGGGAAGGCAGTGAAAGATGGCCCAAGTGCTTGGGCCCTGCACCCACATGGGAGACCAGGAGGAAGCACCTGGCTCTTGGCTTCAGATAGGCGCAGTGCGCCGGCCGTAGCGGCCGTTTGGGGAGTGAACCAACGGAAGGAAGACCTTTCTTTCTGTCTGTCTGTCTGTCTGTCTCTCTCTCACTCACTGTCTAACTCTGCCTGTCCAAAGGAAAAAAAAAAAGAATAAAAAGTATCCTAAAGATATTTAAATTTGGAAAAGGCTTTAGAGATCTGCGCAGTAATCAGAGAGCGAGTCAATAGAAGAGATTTTGTCTCAGTCTAGCAAAACTATGAGAGGTGAACGTCTGATGGCCTCTGGGGACCGGGTGGGAAGCTATGCATTCCAGCTCGCTTTCTGACCATGGATCTGAGATGGTGGAGAGGACCAGGATCCTGCCTGGCATATTGACACCCTCCAGCTCTCTCTCCATTCAAATAAGAGTAGGGAATAAAGCCACCTTGGGTGATGGATAAGTACTTTTTTGAATTTTTAAATTTCTCTACGCTGGACATGAAATACCTATTATTATGGGTATTATGGGAAAGAAGCTTGAAGCCTAATTTGTATTTAATTTTGCTTGTGATGATGTATGTGTTTGCATACTCATGTGTGCATATTTATTTTTGTATGCAAGCATGCTTGCATGCATGGAGATTTCAGCCTCTTCTCTCAGTGATTGACAGAATTGGTAGATAGAAAGACAGTAAAGATGTAGAAGACCTGAATTACATAGTCAATACATTTGAGCTAATTGACTTTTTTTTTTTAAAAGAATTATTGATTTGAAAGAGGAGTTACAGAGAGAAGTAGAGCCAGAGAGAAAGGGAGGTCTTCCATTCCACTGGTTCACTCCCCAAATGACCACAACGGCCAGAGCTGAGCTGATCCGAAGCCAGGAGCCAGGAGCTTCTTCCAGGTCTCCCACATGGGTGCAGGGGCCCAAGGACTTGGGCCATCTTCTACTACTTTCCCAGGCCACAGCAGAGAGCTGGATCGGAAGTGAGCAGCCAGGACTTGAACTGGCACCAGTTTGGAATTCCTGCATGCAGGTGGAGGCTTTCACCCACTACGTCACAGTGCCGGCCCATTTTTATTCCTTTCAAGTACACATGGGATCTTCATTAATATAGACACATTTAAAATGTTGAAATGGTGCAAATGTTGACCATCAGCGAATCAAACTATAGATCAATAACAGTAGAAAATATTTGAAATTAGACAAGCCTTCTAAATGATCCATGTGTTATAGAATAAATTGCAAAAGAATTTAGAAAATATTTTGAAGCAGGTGAAAATGCAACATCAAAAATGTTGCGATACAGAAAAAGCAGTGACTAGAGGGGAATTTGTACAATTAAATGCTTATCATATAAAGGGAAAAGATTTTAAATTAATGATTTATTTTCTTGTCAAAAGCAGAAAAGAACAAATTAAATCAAAAGTAAGCAGAAAGAAGGAAATAATAAATTCAAGTAGACATTAATGAAATTAAAAACAGAAAAACAATAGAGGAAATATATGAAATCAAAGATATATAGAAAAAAATCAATGCAATTCATAAAACTCTCCTCAGATTTATCAAAAATAAAAGGAACAAATTTGCAGTATTAAGAGTGAAAAGGAGCCGGCGCCGTGGCTCAATAGGCTAATCCTCCACCTTGCGGCGCCGGCACACCGGGTTCTAGTCCCGGTTGGGGCGCCGGATTCTGTCCCGGTTGCCCCTCTTCCAGGCCAGCTCTCTGCTGTGGCCAGGGAGTGCAGTGGAGGATGGCCCAGGTGCTTGGGCCCTGCACCCCATGGGAGACCAGGAAAAGCACCTGGCTCCTGGCTCCTGCCAGGATCAGCGCGGTGCGCCGGCTGCAGCGGCGGCCATTGGAGGGTGAACCAACGGCAAAAGGAAGACCTTTCTCTCTCTGTCTCTCTCTCTCTCACTGTCCACTCTGCCTGTCAAATAAAAAAAAAAAAAAAAATTTAAAAAGAAGGGAGTGAAAAGGGGGATATTATTATAGACCCTACAGACATTAAATGGATAGTAAGGGAATGTTACAAAAAACTTTAGTCCAGTAAGTTTGATACTTTAAATGAAATATACAAATTCCTTGAAAGACACAAGCTTCCTAAGTTTCCTGAAGAAGAAATAGATAACCTGAACAACCCTAAATCTGTTAAGGAAATTGAATTTGTAGTTAAAAACCTTCCCACAAAAGAAACTGTAGGTCAGAACGGCTTTACTGGTGAAATCTAAACATTTAAGGAAGAAATAATACCAATTCTATAGAAATTCTTCCAGGAAATTTACAAGAAAAGAAAAACTAGAGGGCCAGCAGTGTAGCACCGCAGTTAAGCTGCTGTTTGGGTCTCTTTCATCCTTTACTGGTCTGGCTGCTCGCACCCTTGGGTGCTCCATGCCTCCAAGCTAGATTCTGGCTAATGCACCTGGCGGCAGCCAATGCAGCACATGGTGGCCCTTGCCAGGCTCCTGCTTTGGCCGTTGGGGGCACTGGGGAGTGACCCAGCAGATGGAAGATAGATGTCTCTCTCTTGCTCTCCCCTCTCCCCCATCCTTTGTCATTCTGCCTTTCAGACAAATAAATAAATCTGTAAACTAAGAAAGAAAAACTATCGACCAATCCCCCATGAGTATAAACACATAAATCCCTAACAAAATATTGGTAAATCAAATCTTGCAATAAGTAAAAAGGATAATATATCATGACCAAGTGGAGCTTATTTCAGGAACACCAGTGTTGATTTTGAAT